TATATACCCTTATGAATAAAAACAAATAGTGGCTTATCAAGAATCAATCGGGTTACATCAAATGAAAGATTATATGGGTGCGTTATGACGTCACGCATGCCTATAATTAGCACGAAGTCACTCTGCTTGGGTGCAGTTTCCCGGTAGACGGGGCGACTTGATAGCGAATATAGTTTATAATGATCTTCATATGTTTATAAATGCAGACTTAATACTAAAGAAAACATTCAGAGTTTTAAGAATTAATCATTAAACGTTTCATTCAACATTGCATGAAGGATTGGATTTCTTTGATTACGGCTAAGCACACTGTGGCTATTTTCTTAGGAAAAAGGATGCCTGCTTGGAAAAGCTTTTAAGATGATGGTTTTAAGAGAAATTGGCTCGTATCCACAACTTGTGCGTGGCTAAAGCAGTGAAAATGTCCATGCAGCAAGCCCGCCCGTCGGGATTTGAACTCATGTCGAACTATCACTGTTCAAAGAATTTACCGCTCAGCCGCTGGTGGGCGCCTACGTGTACAAGAGATTTATCGTTTATCGCTGATGTTGAATTTTGATGTCTTTCCAATTTAATTTATTTATTTAAAGATTAATTTGTCGTGGAACATGAGAAATTATAATTTCTATTAAAGAAATTTGCTGCCTTTATGTAGTAAAATTCCTTTAAAGAGTGGAGATCAGCAGAAGTCCAGTGTTAAAATCGCTGAAAAGTGATATTTTTGTCCGGAATTCGGATCTCGCCGAACGGGCTGACTGCATAGCCGTTTTCGTTGCTTTCCCCATGTGTAACGTGTATACGTGGGGGGACACTTTCCATAACAAACCCCCCTTAAGTAGTTAGCTCTCGGATGCTTTGCCATAGTGAAATAAACCATACCAAACACTTTAAAGGGTATTCACCTGGGTATGATGAATGGGAAAGATTTTTAGAAGACTGATTGTATATTTATTGCCTCCATATTTTATTGCCTGTGACTTTCTTTCTGCTTACCACGTCGGTTGAAAACATAACACTATTCCGTACATCATATTCTAGCTCCGTGTCCAAGTTAAGAACCATTTTGAGCAACAGATGAAATCTAATTAACTGTTTTATCATTTCTTTTACAAAACGGTTAATTACTCTAGATTTGTTCCTATATAGATTTTGAAACAGTTTCTTTATTGGCAATATAGGCTTTCAAAGGCCAAGAGTTAAAATTTAAGTCATTATGTAGGTTAAATATATAAATATTGCTTTCACAAAATGCAAGATACAGCTACAGTAAGTGCAATTATCTGCAATGCAATTCATTAATGAATTTTTTTTACGGACTTTACTTAGTATTTCATCTTTATAAGTATGTTTTCCACTGGGACTACTTGTGCTTGATGATGTGTAATTCTCCGAACGTATGATTTTAATTTAATGTATTTAATGTTTAAAGACATCTACAAAATTTGGTTAGACTTTTTCTTGAAGTTTTCTATCTAGCATGCTATTTCTTGTAGATCAATCACTTCCAGCTAAGCATTCACCAGCGGTCCAGCGGTAAAGTCGCCGAACGCTGATTTCGACCTGGTTCCGAATCCAGGTAAATCACCTGGCTGTATGGGTGTTTTTATGATTTTTCCCATACATAATGTGGATACGAGCCAATTTTGTCTCGGAAAGTGCTCCTTGAAGGCATCTTTTCCCTTAGGCAACTTTGACATAGTCAAATAAATGAAACCAAACCATAAACCACATCCAGTTAACTGTAGAGAACGGATTTATAGGGTCCCCAAAATGTCATGTGAGGCGGGCCTGCCACTTCGTAAATCCTCAACTGATTGAAAGTTATGCAAAAATTCTCAGATGGCGCATTTAAATGGATTTTTGAAGCATGAAAATTTCTTTTGTTGTTGCGTGAAAGCCTGAAAAGTGTTGCTGAAACTAATTTTTTTTAGAAAGTAAGTAGCTTTGGCATGCTTTTGCCTTGATCAATTACTGTTTGTCACGAGAGCTAGTCTCGCCGTTATGTTTAACTGGAGGCGGTTAGTGTAGTAACAGGCTTTGTACATTGCAAATAGGGATGAATCAAGTGAAAGGTTTCGTTCTTACTTTGTTTCGGGTGAAAGTTGCCTTACGGGAAGGACAAAACAATACCATTACGAGTACTTTTAGTAAAAGCTAGAATCGGGAAACTTTGCCATTACGTGCACTAAGATGGCAAACTTATTGTTTTTCAAGTCACCCCTTTGAAAAATGCCTTGCCGTAGAAATAAGAACTAACTCAACTGTAGACATTAACTGGAGGCGCTCTTGTAGAAAGCAGTTAGCAACCAATTTGAAAGAAATTATTTAAATCGCAGAAGAGTAAGGGAAGAGAAAATTTTCGTTTCATAATTTTTTTGACAATACTATAAGCGTATAAACGAGAGTCAAACACCAAAAGAATAGGAATAGCAAATATTTCTATGTTCTACTCTTGCTTAGTACCCTACAGTAGTTAAGTGAATAAGCCTGTTGAATACTGAAAGTTCAGTCAGTGATCGAATCCCAGCAAAAGCGGAGTGAATATGGAAATTTATCCTTTTTCCCATGTGAGACGTAAATACGAAACAGTTTTCTTTAAAGTCCTTTCCGAAAGCATCCCACCCCATAAGGTTGATGATAGGCATGACCATTACCTAACTATACCCTAATTATGTCAAAATCTGTCTTTCCGTAGGCGAAGGGCTTCATATTTTGACTACTTGTCAGGTATTGTAATCGAATTAGATATAAAATTTATATGAAATATTTTCAATTAGTGTTGTTGTTGTCTTGTCCATATTACATGAAACAATAGTTGCCAGAGAGAGGTTGGATTTCTATTTCCCACCCCCCAATTTTGATTGAGAGCATCTCGGGGGGGGGACGCTTCCGAGGATCTCCCCTTCAACCAATCCACATGAGAGGACTTTCGGCTAGCCGCATATTTAGAGTGCCGCCATGCCGCATCGACATTATACATTTACAAACATCATGTCTTCTCCGGGATTCGAACCCAGGCCCTTCGGTACTGTAGTAGGCTTCCCTAACCATTATACCATCTGAGCGACTTCAGTTAGTGTTAAATTATGTATGAAGTATTTTCGAAATTTAAAACGGCAAAATAATTCTTAACTCATGGGTCTATATGAAAGCACTGCGCGACTTTTCTACTAAACTAGTACATAAAAGCATTACATATTTATATATACATGCATAGTATAATAAAAAAGCAATTGGTAAACATTTAAAGTCTTATTTCATTAAAACTGCAACAGAAGAATAAAAACTAACAAAGTAGCGCATAACTACTATAGAAAACTGTGCTACTCATATAAAAAATATTTCCCCCAAAATAACAACTTAAATAAGATAAATAGGAAAATTATGTACAGATTTATTGAAAAAAGCCCATCAAAAGTCGGTCAACCCCACAAAAGTCATCATACAGTTGATTGGTTCTTAACTAAATTTCCATATGTGACTGTTTTTTTCCCTTTCGGGTTTATAAGGACACCTCAACCATGCGTGAAATTCAGAATCTTGATTCTCTTTTTCAAAGGTGATCGTAGTTTAAATAATATATACAAGGAAAGAAATTTCTTTAAATGAGAGTAGCTCATTGTAAACTTGCGGCATTAAAAGAAATCTGGTAGTGAAATAGCTAAAATTATTGGGAAAAGTAGTGTAACTGTACAGACCATAATTAAAAATTACAAATCAAGGAGAAACGTGCCAACAAATCCGGAAATGGTCGTCCAAAGAAAATTAGTCGTCGTGAAACACGAACTTCAAGTAAAAAAGTATGCAAAATTAAGTGAAGATCTAGTGACGATAATAAGAAAAAGTCAGTCCAGAAACTGTGCATAAAATTCTTCGATTAGCGGGCTTTAATGGCAGAGCTCTAAGAAAAACAGTACTATTTAGTGATAAAAGCAAGTTAAGTGTTTCTAGAAGCGAAGCTTGTGAAGAAAGATTTCGCGATGGAATAATGAAGAAATGAAATCGAAATATTTGATACCAAATGTTTAACATTGTCGTAAGTGTGTAATGGTTTGGGGTTCAATGGCAGCGCCTGGAGTAGGTAAATTAGTTTTCATAGATTGCATTATGGACCGATTCATGCATGTGAAACTATTGCAAAAGTAATCTATCATTTTTTGAAAAATTGGGACTAGGAAGCAGTCTTTCAACAAGATAATGATCCCAAAACATAGTGCTAAGATTGTTATGGAATATCGGCTTTATAAAGCACCCAGTCAACTGCAGTCACCACCCCTGTCACCAAATTTAAACCCTATAGAATATATATGAGATGAACTTGATTAACAGAGATCTGCCAGTATATTATTACAAGCAAAAAAAGTCCAAAGGCACCAGTTCAACGAGCATGGTTTGAAATTACAATAGACACAACAAATCTCGTTCTGTCTATGCCAGAAAGGTTACGAGCAGTGATAGATTGACCACCAAGGTATTAATACTATTTTTTCATTCATTTGACCAAAAAAGCAGTTTTTCTTCTCTTTGTATTTAGAATTTTTCATGCAGTGTATCAATTTTTGTAATATTATGTTGAAACTCAACAAACTATGTTTCATTTTCTTGATGCTAATGAAGGTGTTTTTACGACTGCATGTAGACTTCTGTGATGATGCGTGTGTATATATGTATATAATTTTTAGAACCCATTATATACAATTACGTTCAATACGTCTTGGTCCTAATATTAGCATAAGAGATTAATAATCTTATATATTAGGTCTGAAATCGTGATAATTACATATGATTTTATATGACAGTTGCTGTTTCCTCCTAAACTTCTAAAACTGCTTTGCGGCTATAAAATGTAACATTTCACGATTATGCGAGTATGTCAAAAATGTGGCAAAGGAAATTTCAGGCTTTGAAGCTGTATGTGCATGATGTTTCAAGTAGGTTTAATGTAGATAATTAGATGCATGTAAATTATTTCTAAAATATAATAAAATTTTATTTTACAGGTTCGGCTTTGGCATCCCCTTTAGCCAATCAGTATATAGATGGCGTTTTGAATTCAGCGCTGCGAAATGAAATCAGAGCTCAAAGACTTGATCCTGCTGTTTTGCAAGATTTCCACACAGAATTTGAGGACAAAGTAGCTATAATTGGCAAAGTGAAAGGCAGAGCTGATTACACTAAGGGCAAACTTACTGGCTTGTCTGACGCTCGAAGATACTCTGAGTGCAACGGGCCCTACTACAGTTTTGGAGCAAAGAGCATCAATTGCACAATTTCCTTCGATAACCTGAAGATGGAATATGATGGAAAACTGAAGTACGGGAAAATGCCCAAGGTCAACATCAAGGCCAAAGCAAACATCACGAATACTGTTATATTCATCGAGGTCTCAAGCGCAGCACAGCATATTCCTCCCTCGCTGAAAAATTTCCTTTTCCAGCATGTAGGATACATGCAGATGAAATTTTCTGGCTTAGGACCTCTGAATAAATTTACGAAATTTTTAGAAGAAGGTTTTAAAGCCTATGCAGAAGCACAGATTTTTAATTCCATGACCCAAAGATTTCAGTTGGCCTTAAATAGGGCTGTTAGTCTTGTTCCTATGCCAAATTAATAAAATATCTTGAACTGTAATTCATGTCAATAAAAATAATAGTGCGTTTAATGCGAGTTTATTATTATTATACATTATTTTATACGGTATTTAGTAAATATATTTCATTTGTCTGTTTACACCTTTGGATCATGGAAAGGACAATTAAAATGTTTATAGGTTAAGGCAAAATATATAAAAAGTTTATCATTTTAAATAATAACTTGCAGTTACGCTTGAACGTAATCGTTACACTATTGACGCTACTGATTAAATGAAGAGCAATTCGAAGAAATGTAGTTTTCAAAATACCGTATATTCCGACATATAATGCGCACTTTTTAGCACAAAAAAAAAAAAAAAAAAAAAAAAAAAAAAAAAAAAAAAAAAAAGAGATCGAAATTCAAAGGTGCGCTTTATACCCCGGATATAAAAATGATAAGTTTTAAAAATAAGGAAAAGATAAGAATAAAAAAATTTATTTTCTACATATACCTAAATGCTGTTACTAGCGATTTTGATGATTTTCTAGGATCCAGTTGGCAACATTTTCTTTTAGGATAGGCCATTTCATTACCCTTTTCCGAAAATCATATTCATTATTTAGCATATTCATTATTGTGCTTTCTTTCTTCCGCTCATGTATGGACCTTTTACCAGTATCGAGCATCCTTGCTGCAGCGTGATTTCCATTTTCTTTCGCAAACTGAATGACTTTACATTTGGAACCAGCACTATGTTTGTTCCGTTTGGTAGGAGCCATATTTACTTGCTAAAAGGAATGCTAAATGAACTGCATTTTAGTTAAAGGAAATGCGATTTACAAAAGCTTTCGATGTTGACTTCAGAATCACGACTTATAATGACTACAGAGAGTCTTCCGACTCCGTATTCCGCGAATTCATTCGGGTCGGAAGTACATTCGTATCCCAAATTATATCCCCCATTCTCTCGAAACCTTAGAATAACATTCTTGTGCGCAGCTACATTGAATACAATCAATCCTTTTTGCAGATTTACTCCCTCAAGCACTTTCCCCCATATACATATTTTTCCTCTTATCATTTGCTAGTTCAGCATTGTACGAAAGCCTGCGAAAAATGTTCTATTGAATAACTTCAGAAGATAACAGCATCACACATGTATCTTTCAGGTTTCTTCATAGAGAAAAGAGTGCTATCAGAAGTTTAGATTTAAATTTACAATATATATAAGTGAGCTTTTATTTTTAAAAAAATAAAAAAATTCGTAAAGCTCAAAAACAATTTTCATTAAATGTTATACCTTAAAAAATAAATGTTTTGATATGATTATTGCACTTTTTTCGTATTTATAATACTTCTCATCACTTCTAGAAGTTCCTAGAAAAATAGCTGCCATAGGGCTCCAAAAATGCATTTCCCGAAAACTTCCAGAATGTTGTCAAGTTAGCGAGAAATCATCTGTTGCCAAGTCCGTTCAGGTGTGTTTCTGGCCATATTTCGCATTCTGATTGAGATAGCTTTAGAGTTCAAATGCTGATCGGTTCAGAATTAAGATCTCTAAAACATAATACACGGAATAAACCTTTACAAACACAACAAGTAGCCTCTGATTCGGCTATACAAAAATACTGAATTGAATTCCAAAAATAAATGGCACTCAGTAAATAAGTTGAATAAATAAAAAAAAAAACAAGACATAACACAAGGAATACTCAAAAGCTGAAGAAAAAAAATATTTACACGAATTTACAACAATTTATATTTGCATTAATACTTTAATTTTTATGGTTCTATGAAATATTTTTCGTGTTAATCTTTTATCGCAAACAGTTTTTATGCGTAAACCACGACAATAAAAACTTATTAATATTGATCTGTCATATTTCAAGGTGAAGTGATAAGTGCATTCTTTTTATGTAGACCGTGCAGAAAGTATTGGGTCAGTTCATAAATTCGTGCTCATTTTTTGGTAAATTTTTAAATAATATAAAAAACACAATTTAACATTTTAATCAATTGTATATTTTCCTTCATTATCTACAATGTTTTGCCATCTTATGGGCAGCTTTTTTTATGCCATTGAGTTCATCATGCCGGGTTCATCATCAATGCTGCTTTTTCCAACTTTAAATTTTTTAAACCATTTCTGGGCAGTCCTTACACAAATAGTGTGTTCACCATGTACACTATTAATTTTTATCGCTGCAAACCTGGCAGATTCACCACACGAAAATAAAAAAATGTAGCACAGCACGTTTGTACTGATTATCTATATTCATCTTCTATGGGTACTAAAATGCGTTCGATATTTACGAAAGTTGGTGATGAACTGAATAATATGTTAGTCAAATGATGACAAGTTTCAACAGGTTCAAAATTGTAGTGTTTTAGTAAATGCTTCATAGTGAATTCTAAACATACTCTTAATGCGCATGAACTTATGGACTGACCCGATAGTATCCGATTGGTTATAAAAATGAAAGGAAATCACTTAGTTAAACAAAGCCTTTTTATTTGAAAACAAAAACTTTGGGAAAATGCATTTCATACCAGCATCCACCGCACTGAGGCACTTATCTTGCTAGATGACAAGATTTTACTTTTGCACTTTTGCTCGCAGTCCATTTCGAAAAGCAGTTAGTTTTCTGAAACTCTTTATTGTCAACAAGGTAATTTCCATCAAAAAGTGTTCTAATTTTGTGAATAAAAAGTAATAGCTCAGATGAAAGAGTGTATGCTGCATGCTCCCTCACTTGAAACTGAAAATTCCTGAAGTAAGAGATTATTATAGAGGATGATCACTTTTTTGACAGAAAGAGGTTTGCTATCAATGAATTCCAGCAAATGGGAGCTCCCCTTTTTAAATGAACTGGCTGCAAAAAAATAGGATGATACCGCACAGAAACAATGTTTCCGGTATGAAATTGCTCTGATTGATTATATAGGAAAGGTACCCAAGATATGTGCTTTCCATAAAATCAAAACAAACAAACAAACAAAGCCTCTCTCCTCACTTCCTTCTCTCGTTCTATTTTCATTTTTAAAGAAGAATTGTAGTAAAAAATCCGATAATCCGGCACCTGTGTATCTGACAGGAGTGTTATTGAGTTGAGAAACAATTGACAATATTCAGAGACAGTATATGTTGTAAATATTTATATAACAAATTAATACAGTAAGGAAAAGAAGCAATTTTTCTTACCTTGGCTTCTCGACAGCGTCGAGCATCATCATAGTCTTTAGCAATCCGAAAGAAGATTGTATACGAAATGGTCGACGAAATAAATTTATTTAGCACATTAACAGATGTTTAGCGCAGAATAAAAAAATAATTAAATTTTTCGCAGTATATATATATATAGTGTTCAGTAGAGAGTTGTTATGACACAGTTTTTAAGCTTTCCCATCGGATGAAGCTCACACAGTTCCTTCATTAAAGCACACCTAGAGTAGAAAGTTTATCGCCTTATTGGTTGTTGAGGATGTCCATCATTGTTTACTAAGAGTATCATAATGAGCGAATGTTCTGTTGAAGAAAGTAAAGTCTTATGATTAATTCGTTTGCAATACTAATTTGTCTTTTGCCTCACTTTCTGAAGATGAAAATTGCAGACTGGAATAAAAAAGCCAAATATGAGCCAGTTATGGAAATTCAAGCTAAAGTGAAGCGTGATTAGGAAGAAGGTTTTTATTAACATTACTTGATGCAAGGCTGATGAAGCATTAAATATATTTGCGGAATTAACACGACATAATAACCACAAAATGGTGGAGAAAAATGAATTTTCCTATTCTCCTTTATATCTTTAAAAAAAGGTGGATATTCGAACTTTGAAAAGTCTTCATGCAAGAGCAGTATGGTAGATTCTAGAACGTAAATTGATTAGGAATAATAAATTTTGCATATTTTGTTTGTCTTCTAGTATATTTTCAGTCATTAAATATATTTTTAGAGTTACTGTGTGCAGAGCCTTTTTAAAGTTTTGCCTTCTTACAACAAGTTAAATTATGGTTACAAAATTGGATTTTAATTTTGAAAAGTCCAGCTTATTTAATAGTAATTTAGCATTATCGAAATCTGGACCTTACCGGATTATTAAATGTTTACTCTATTTCCTGGGTCTACCTCGTATGAAATAACATGTGGCTTGCAATGCAAAAAAACACCTGAATTCTGATTGCACAATCTTTGAAATAACGTAATATTTCGAATCATTAAATAAATTTCAGTGATCTTTAACAAGGATGAGGAGCTATGGATCAAAGTCCGTTTTGGGTGCTCAGCATTTTTACAAAAATCGTATTCGTGCAGCCTTTTTTATTTCTTTTTTCCAGAAAAACAAGAAGTCTGATAGGATACGAAGAAAAAGAAAATGCTTGATGGATAAAATGCATCATTTGAAAAGCTGATCTCTATATAGAATATTTTTGCAAATTACTGCTGAATGTATAAATTACATCTATAAATTGAAATAACTTTTAATGGGATAGCATTCATAAAAACACATCGCAAATACTTTTGATTAATTCTTGATTAGTATACTGTTAATAACATAGACTTAATCACGAAAAAATGAGACAACGTACTCGTAAACATGACTGCAAAGCTTTATTTATTTCATTTTTGAGCACAGATTGTTAAGTGTTCCTATTTATCGATGTATAAGTGTTTATTGTTATTATTAATCTTGTTCGTAGACTCGAGCATTGGCTGTTACAAAAGCATTGTGACTCTGTAGAGAAATTAGGTTGTTTTTATAACAGGAAAGGTGAAAAATGAGCAGTGCCCTCGCAGGGATTCAAACCTCTCGGATACGCGCCGAGCATGCTGATCACTACACCAAGAAGACATGCTAAGAAGGCGGGAGAAATACCTTATAACACGAAAAAAATACAAGGTCTTTCATTTATTTTCCATGGTTAATCAATGTATAATTCCTTGGTAAACTGAACAATTTGAAAGCAATGCATGCATTTCTGAATTATTTAAATCCTCATTTTATTTTTTAATAATGTATGTAATTAATAAAATAAAATGCATTTAGTTTATGTTGCGTTTAAATGATAGTTCTTTTAAATATTTGCAGC